TGTGTTACTCACTGCGGTTATACGTTGTTCGTTGTTTATGTTGTGTTATTAAAGGTTTAATTACCCAAGTATGAGGTGTTGTCTTGGCGATCCACGGTTGGATCCGTGCGTACTTGACGTCGCTGTGTGATTGGTAATACGAGCTCTTTATTTCTAGTACTATATTCGGCCCTCAGCAGAAGACAGAGCCCCCTCGGCGAGAAAAGAAGAAGAGGTAGAAGAAGAAGAAGAAGTGAAAATAGAAGAAAGAAGCGAGGAAGTGAGTCCCCTTTCCACTTAGGGTTGCCCCTCACTTAGAATTGGTTGTCTGTTGCCTTTTGTGCTAGAGAATCAGCACAATGAAAAAGCTTGATATTGGTTGCCAATATCTTTTGCGAGGGCGGAGTATGGAATGTTAAGGCTTTGCCAAATAACAGTATAATGAGGTGAAATGCGAATGTACTATCCTCCCAAATTCACTCTGGGCTTTGCCAATATTCATTTGTTTCATTGAACACTGAAGAACTGCGAACATAGTTGAATTAGAGATTATTCTAATAAAGGAGACAACAAACCTTCCCTTCTTTGAGATGGAACATTTCCTTCACACTCCGACCAATTTTCCCACCGCAGTTCAATATCAAGACCAGAATCATAGTTCTTAGACGGCATTTCCACTATAGGCACTTTTACCCTCAAAAGATGTTATGTTGGTACAGAAAAAAGATTTCGAGTAGTGTTTCCTGAAAATCCATCGCAAGCGCGTAGCTTGGAACAAACATTCAAATCATTCTGTAATTGAATCAAAACCTTCTAAAGCTTTTCTTGCTAATTTTCAATTCAGAAATAAGGAAGAATCTTAATCCACCATTTATTTAGAAGATTTGAATAAAGTTATTGACTAAATCTGAAATAAGATAAAAGATCAACCAGCCTGCATCCATCTAATGTACACGCAGTCGCATTTGATATACTTTGTCTAACATGAACGGGCATTTCCTGAAAGGTTTAAAAGAATGAATAACTGTCTGGTTCACTGGAATAGTCTAGTAGGATTGCAGTTTGAAAACAAGATAAACTGATCAAAAAAGCAAGAAGATGTCCAAAAAGCTAGAGGGTTACGTATACCAAACGGTAAAGAACTTAAGTCAGTGATTGAGGTTAAAACTCATTGCATGACATTTTAGATTTTTTTTTCAAATACACGTTCAAATTATCTACTCGTTCTAGTCCATCGGCCGCAACTAACTTCTATCTGGCTATTGCTGTTGGCGAAGTAATCCTAATGCACAATAGAAACAACACTGCAGCGCTTGACTCTGACGCAGAGACTAAAGGAGCAAAAGTCATAAATCCCACAGTAACAAAGCGAAAAAATTCCTTACCTTATAATGGTAACAGTATGAACCGTTAACACAGCTGTGAGGCTTGTCATCGCGAAATGTTGGCTGGAAGCGGAAACGCCAATTGAATGAGGGCATGATGTGAGTTGATGCTTCACCACATCCATCTCCTTAATTTCATTGAATTTGCTAACAAAGTAGTGTTCTGGAAAGCTTGATGAACCAGTCTAACCATATGTATCCGCAATCTCTTTAGGTATCTTATTTTCGATTATTGAAACTGGTGGTGTCATTGCAAGCAGTATGTAAAAAACATTAGTGATTCCTATGGACAACTCATCATAGCAGAAGTATACGCCTTGAGAGGTGATCCCAGCCTAAGGAAATTATCAAATTTCAATGGAGAAGGTTGGAAAGACGATTTGCCACGCACATTGAGTATTGAAAGCTTTCCATCTTTCTGCACATATATCGGCGCGGCCATTCGAATCCTTTCGTTTCTTGAGCCTAGCGCAATATTAACCATATGATAGTCGAGAACATCGCTGTAATTTTCAACTAAAGTCTTGATTTAACTATAGATAATCTGAAAAAATTTGTATTAACCTTTGATTCTCCATGAATTCGTCGTTTTCAACAAGATCGTAAAAATCCTTATTTGAAACTACATTTAGCTAGGAAGATGCAGGATTATATTATGAAAGAAAAGCTAACACTTATACGCGGTAGATACGCATAACCCAAACCTGTGGAGCTCTGAGAAACTCTACCATATCCTCCGCCACAGCCCAATATTTTACCTTCCCATTGTAAGCCATAGCTAATTCGCACATATAGCATGGTAAGTCAATTCGTTCTCCTGGCCAGAAGTAAACAGGCAACACCTACATTATTGAGAAAATTTAGACTCATGAAATCATACTGATAAAAGCACTATATGAGTAGCCACTCTGAACAGCAATGCATTGTTTCTGTTTTGTTTTTATTTTTTCTGTGTTATTAATTGTTTTATTTCGTTTTTTGGTATCTTTGCTTTGCTTTTTTGTTGTTTTTCTATCTTGTTCCCCCCCCCTCCCGTGATGGTCTACGCCTCATCGTGGCGCGGGG